TTATAAAATATTTAAGGATCAACTCAAAAGTAGATCAATTATTTTATAATTAAGAACATGATTGAAAATTATTTAAGTACTTTTATTAAATGTGCAAGATTATCCAAAGATGACATGCATGTTCAATCAAAGTGCGATTTATTGTGCGAATTATGTTAGCATCAATTATGTTTAATTACTACGTTGTTGTTCACCCAAAGGAGAATTGCAACGTACATTTATTGTTTTTGCCTTGAATCTAATTTGAAATTTTCAATTATTTTAATTTGCAGTAATTGTGTCTGTTTCGCTTCATTCGCATGCATCATCTGTTCCTATGGTTAATGGGCTCAACTATCCTCAATGTTCTGAGCACATTCAATTTCAACTTAGGTGTTTTAGGTCTTGACCTACCACTCCATGTTGAAAAGCCTCCTTCTATTATTGATACTAGCAACGAATGTGAAAGGTCTTAGTCTCTCGCTGGGACACTAATGGCTACGCTAACCACCATAAAGTTTGATGGTTCGTAATCCATTCATGAACATGTCGTCGAAATGACGAACCTGGCAGCAAGATTGAAAGCCTTAGGGATGACTGTGGATGATAACTTTCTGGTGCAGTTTATCTTGAATTCACTGCCCCCTGAGTATAGTCCGTTCCAAATGAATTATAATACCATGAAAGATAAATGGAATGTGAATGAACTTCACGGTATGCTAGTTCAAGAGAAAACAGGGCTTAAAAATCACGGCTCTCATTCAATTCATCTTATTACCAACCAAGGAGCTGGTAGGAGAGTGGGGAATAAGAAAGTGAAGGGCAAGCGCGGACCATTGAAAGTGAATGTGTTGTCTGCCCAAGCCCCGAAGAAGGAACTCAATAATGTCAAGTGTCGCTTTTGTGGAAAATACGGACACTTTCGAAGAGATTGCCTTAAACGAAAGGCTTGGTTCCTCATAATACTTGGTGACTTGATTCCGGCTGTACCACTCATGTTTCGAAATCCTTGCAAGGATTTCTTACGATCCAAACCACAAAGCCAAATGAAAGATTTTGTTTATGGGAAATCGAGTCAAAACTCCCGTTGAAGTTGTAGGAACCTATCGTTAATTTTATATTCTAGACACCATTTAGATTTATTTGAGACTCTTTATGTACCTTCTGTTTCTCGCAATTTGGTTCTATTTCTAAACTCGATTTTGTTGAATATTCATTTAACTTTGGCAATGGTTGTTTCACTTTATTAAAAAATAATTATCCAATTGGTTCTGGTGTTCTTGAAAGTGGTCTTTACAAATTCAAACTTGATAACCTCTTTCCTGAAACCCTTTTAACCCTACATTAAAATGTTGGAACTAAACGTGGTTTAGTGAATGAAAACTCTGCTTACTTGTGGCATAAACGTTTGGGGCATGTTTCCAAAGAAATAATTATAAGATTAATGAAGAATGAAATCCTTCCGAATTTAGATTTCACTGATCTTGGTTTTGTGTGGATTGTATAAAAGGAAAATAAACAAAACACACAAAAAAAATGAGCTACAAGAAGCACACAGCATCTTGAAGTAATACATACTGATATTTGCGGACCATTTGATGTTTCCTCTTTTGGAAAAGAAAAATATTTCATCACCTTCATTGATGACTTTTCACGTTATGGTTATGTCTATCTATTACATGAAAAATCTCAATCAGTAGACGCTCTATAAGTGTTTATTAATGAGGTTGAAAGACAATTAAATAGAAAAGTGAAAATTATCAGATCTGATAGAGGTGGTGAATATTATGGAAAATATAATGAATCGGGTCAATGCCCGGGTCCGTTTGCCAAATTTCTTGAAAAGCGTGGCATATGTGCTCAATACACTATGTCAGGTACACCGCAACAAAATGGTGTAGCTTAAAGGCGTAATTTAACACTATTGGATATGGTTAGGAGTATACTCAGTAATTCTTCACTGTCCATATCGTTGTGGATGCATGCACTTAAAACTGTCATGTACTTATTGAATAGGATTCCTACTAAAGCAGTTCCTAAAACTCCATTTGAGTTATGGACTGGCAGGAAACCTAGTTTAAGGCACCTGCATATTTGGGGTTGCCCGGCAGAGATAAGAGCTTATAATCCACATGAAAGAAAGTTAAACTCAAGGACGATCAGTGGTTTCTTCATTGGTTATCCCAACAAGTCTAAAGGGTATAAGTTTTATTATCCTAATCATAGTACAAGAATTATTGAAGTTGGAAATGCAAGTTTATTGAGAATTGTGAAGTTAGTGGGAGTCAAGAATCTCGAAATGTTGACATTTAAGAAGTTAGGGTGCACATTACTGTACCACTGACTCCTAATAATGTTGTTGTTCTTCAATGTTGTTAAACCTCCTAACAATGGACAGGAACAATTGACCCACTTTTGGATATTTGTTCCTACTAGCCGGAGGAGCAATATTATGAAAAAGTGCGAAGCAGTCTGTCATAGTTGCGTCCACTATGGAAGTTGAATTTATGGCATGCTTTGAGGCCACAAATCAAGAAAATTAGCTGTAGAACTTTATTTCGGGGCTTGGAATAGTCGACAGTATTGCCAAGCCACTGAAAATTTATTGCGATAATTCCGCAGCAGTCTTTTTTTCAAAGAACGACAAGTACTCCAAAAGTGCAAAACATATGGATCTAAAGTATCTTGCCGTTAAAGAAGAGGTTCAGAAACAAAATATATCAATTGAGCATATTAGCACCAATCTTATGATTGCGGATCCGTTAACTAAAGGATTGCCTCCAAAGACATTTATTGCACATGTTGAAAGAATGGACATTATGAATGTAATTTGATGAACATTATGTTTATGTATTTGATATCTCGAGCTCCCTTATGTATTGTTTCTGAAATTGAATATTTTCTTGTTCATTTATTTGTGCACATGATTGTTTAAACAAGATGCAATCTATTTTAGACATTAAAGTGGACCATTATCGATATTTCCAATTATGAATGAATTAAAAGTAGAAAATTAGTATATGGTACATGAAATGAACTATATCAATTCAATGACGTAGAACTGTCATGACTCATATTAGTATATACTTAATGAATGGTGTTGGACTTGTATCAATAAAGTTTATTATTTTATTTAAACCATGAATACATATTTTGTCCCTCAGCCAAGTGGGAGAATGTAAAATATGACCTCATGTCACTTATTAATTAATGGTTTGAATATAATAATAATAATAATAATAATAATAATAATAATAATAATAATAGAATTGATCTAGTCAAATTAAAAGTAATTTAATACCACTTTATCATTATCTCACATGGATAGAACATGGTATAATGATTTTTAACGTAAAAGATTATGGTTCTCCCTCTGCCTATAAAATTTCAGAACAAATCTATTCTATCACACACAGAAAATTAAATTTACGTGTTCTGGCATTGAGGCTAACAGGGAGAAACCAGATGATCCAACTCATCTTCCCAACCAGACGATCCAATTCATCGTCCCAACCAGATGATCCAATTCATCGTCCCAACCAGAATATCCAACTTATCGTTCTGTACTAGAAAATGGTTTCCAACTAAAGTCAGTATATATTTCATTGATTTTGTGAGAATCATAAAGTTTAAGGTTTGCGAATTAATCGATTATATTTTATTTTAAACTTACATATATTTCTATGAAATATGGTATTATTATTTTAATAAAATAATTAAATAATTATAAAAATATAATGATTAGTTTTTACTAACCCGCACAAAAAATGTGGTACGGTCAATAGATAAATTTTAGTAGAATTTATATTTATTTTATTATATTGATATATTTTTAAATATATGTTTGTTATGTTTTTTTGTTGCAATGTATGTGATGTTCTACCTATATAAAGTTGATTTTTTAATATTTGTGTTTAGAAGTTTTAATTGAAAAATATGTGTGCTTTAATTACGTTATGTGTGTGATTTATTTATTTGTAAGGTATGTTATTTATATATTTATATAAAATATGATAATATTATTCAAATAAAATTATTAAATAATTATAAAAACATAACTATTACTTTTTACTTACCTATAAAAAAATATAGTGCTTTCCAATGGATAACGTTTAGTGTTTTTAGGATTTATATTTTATTACATATATATTCTTTAAATATAAGTGTTTTCATGTTTGATTGTACTTGTTTCTCTTTTTGTGATTGATTATTAATACTATATCCCATAACAAAGTATCAATTTTTCTATTTTAGTCCGTCTCATAACAAAGTATCAATTTTTTATTTTAGTCCGTCTCATAACAAAGTATCAATTTTTCCATTTTAGTCCGTCTCATAATAAAGTATCTATTTCTTTTTTTTAGTAACGGTGCTTTCTACCCTAACATTACAAATACTCTTATAACTTACAATATATTATACAAATGACATTACCTTTATATCACATATACTAATAAAGTTATTTTAGTCATTTATACTTTATTCCTACTATATCATAATATAATACTAATATTTCTAAAATTACGTGAAAAAACAAATAAATATTTACTTAGAGAGTATATTGTTTCTTCATAACGAAAAATAATTTGAAAAAAATAAAAGTTGAAATAATAGATAGAAAATCGTTGTCATGAGAAGAAAATGAGGGTGTTTTTGTTTGACGGATTTGCAAAAAGTTAATAATAGATTAAATTTAACAACGTAAGAAGGATGTGAAAGTATATTTGACACTAAAAATATAGAATATTTATATTAATCAACCAAAACCAAACAAACCCCATCCAAATCTTTTTACTATTTAAAAATGTAATTTTTTTTTTTCATAAGAATCTCATGTATATATAACAACTATTTAATCTAAAAAAAACATAAAATCATAATAATAAAAACAAACAAAATAGAGGTAAATATTACTGCTGACATTCTGACCAAATAATACAAGCTCAGCTTCCTTAGTATATCTATTTTTTTATTTAAAACATCATATTAAAAATTATTTATTTCTTCAAAAAAAAAATAAATAAATAAATACAAAACACTCAAGAACAATCTAAAATACTCCAAATCAATGACAAAAACATAAAATAACAGGTATTGTACATACATATATATATAGTCTCTTCTACATGGAAAATATTGCAAGTAGCACACCACCATGATCATGACTGCTGTTTCTTCTGCCCCAATTCCCATATCTTCACCGTGCCATCGTCGCTGGCCGAGGCGAGGCGCCGGTTATCCTGTCAGAAGACGAAACAAATGAAGCTGATGTTATCTCCTAAGATGTCGCAACAAGTATGCATGAAAACAATAATTCTATTGAGCTATTTGGAGTAGACTAGCTGGGCTTCCATTGAAATTTACCATGGAGTTCCACTGCACGGCATTTATGTCCCTGTCGTGAGCCTTTTCTTTCTTCAGAAGTAACTTGTAAGAAGGTGCATCCACCTGTTGTAGTAGTGTACAATAATTTGGTAAGTGAGTGAGAGATCATAGTAAATATATTGCGCCCGTGTGCTAAGAATAAACTTCTATTTATAACAGGTGTGTTCTCCCGACATAATTTTTGATAACCTCCTCAATTAATATTATCAAAACATACAATATACGCACACACAATATATAATATATACATATATATTCTATCCAATCTATCCAAAGGAATGTAAACAGTTGGAATTTGTTTGTTTATTTATCGACAATAACATAGTTTTCTTATAAAAAAATATCACATCATACACTTATTTTTTATTTAAAATATATCGTCTAGTATCCATTTACAATTTTAATTATTCTCAAAACATCAAAACATAACTATATGAATACTTCTTCCCCTCTTCGACACTCCTTTTCTAAAGTTGCATGGAAATTTCAAGCAGAGTTGTAAATGCAGAAGGGCAGTGATTAACTTTGTTCCAATTTGTACGAACTCTTTTGTGTTTCATAAATATTGACATGCATTTATCAGTCATAAAAGGGACTATTCACTCGGCATATAACTATCCAGTATTTATTCTACCGATCCTTTTATTGTAATAAAAACATACCGTGCTATCTTCATTCTCAACAAACAAGCATATTGTATCATCAGCTGCCCCACTGCAAATGATTCCCTCCCTGCAACATTCATCATTCAAAATAACAGGATGAAACGAACCAAATGGATAGTCAAGTGGAACCAAAATTAAATTTGCACACATATTTCAACACATTTGGCAATTGTTAAAGAAAATGTGAAGCTAAAGATATAAATACTTTAAATACCTCGACCAATGAACAGAGAAAATAGTCCGATCATGATAACCAGAGAGAGTACACAGGTGCGTCCTGATAAGAGCCAGAAAGACATCTATTATCCAATGTAGCTTATGAAGTGCGTTAAATGCACAATCAACGAAGGAGCTCAGTTCAACAATGTAAGTACGCTACCATGAACTAAAAAAGAGACAATGAATAAAATAACATGCAATGTATGTATTCACAGAGAACAAATGTATAAATGGCTATGATTAATTTGATTCGTCTATTCATTTATCCGCATAAGTCACCTTGCCAAAGAGAACAAATCGTAAAAGCCTTAACGGGGCCCGCTAAACAATATGATCGATAAAGTTTTTATGGTTGAAAAATCATTATTTCCCTACATTAGTCCGGGAATATAATAAAGTATTGGGGGTAAGAACACCAATTAACATAACATTCCAATTTCCAATACAAGTACATATATTTCATTCGTAACAGAATGAATACGTCAAAAAGTGGAAAAGAAACAAAATAAAAGAAATATCAAGCACAAATAATGGCATGTCTTACCAAGGTGCATATCCGTTTCCAGATTGCATGCTCATAATATCCGAACCCCATATTTTAATGGTAAGGTCATCACTGCGAAATCAAATTGAGGACCCATTATCATAATCTGACAATCAACCTTATTTGTTCTTATAGTGCAAAAAACACAAATTGGATCTCAGCTGTAATATAAAACTTTTATGATGCAAACATAGGTAATTAATAGTAAGTTTGCACATACCTACAAGAAACCATCTTATCTCCCTTGGCATTAAATGATAAAGCCCAGACCGTAGATGTATGCCTGCGTACAAACAACATAAATAATGATTGATATTTTATCTTACTTGAGAAATTCAACGGCTGAGCACACAATTCAATTCATATTAGAAAAGCACAACAAGGTGAAGCATTATAAATGAGAACAGTTAAACTTTGTGGTTAGTGCATACAATGGTTTCATCCTACAAGTTACTATTGCTTGAAATTAATTTCAAAGGTAAGAAGCCAATACTCTGGTGTCAAAATTTATGAAAAAATGGATTCTATGAAAGCTAACCAATTTATCAAATGATATTCCATGTTTCAAAAAGAATGTATCAAGATCTAAGTTAGCACACTGACAGATTTCTTTTACATGATGTTTGATGTAATTGTGCATCTAGCAGAGAAAATCGTATGGCATAGGCTGTCAGTGATAGAATATAAGTTCCAAGATGTATCTGCTAACGAGCAATTCAAAGCTGGAGTATAAACTACCTGTTGGCTGCATTTAATGTCTGAACACAGTGCCAATCATCGCCATCCCCATCCTCCGCCCACACCTACATCAGCCAGTTGAATAGTCCAAACCATAAGGCTCAATATATTAAGTAAATTCTCAAATATCTAAATGCCGTTAGTGCTACCATCCACGCTTATAAGTACCTTTATAGTATCATCATAACCACAGGAGAACAGAATATCAATTGACGGATGCCATCGAACCATTTTAACATCTTGTGTATGTCCTTGCAACACCGCAACACAATCGAATTCATTATGAGGTAACACTTCCCATATCCAAACTGATTTGTCTCGGCCACAAGTTGCAAGCAATGACCCCGACGCATTCCAAGAGATACTTTTGACTTCATTCTCATGACCCTTGACAGACAATTTATCAATAAACTCAGGCACTAATGAATCAATCTTACTAACAAACACACACAATAGTTCTGCCATTCTAGATTGATTAAACTAGATTAAAAATACCTCTAGAGTGGAAACACAAGCAAAATCACCCCCAATATCTTCCCAAATGGCAGTGGTGGCATCAAAACTTGCAGTTGCTAACAATTTTCCAGACGGCGACCAAGCGCAGGATCGTACGGTCCTAGTATGCGTCTCCTCTAATACTGCCTGCACCATATTTTTAGAAAAAAACCACCATCAATACCAATTTCTCGAAATCACACTGATTTGCATAGACATACACTTGGAGCACTTTCCAATGCCAAAATTGTAAAACGAAGACTGACAAATAATCAACCTTGCATTCGAAAGGGCCGGAAATGGAACTCTGCTGCCAGATGCGCACGGTTTTGTCTCCGCTGCAGGAAGCGAGTACCGCTGGGACTCCATCAGCTCCGGTGGCTGGTTTCCAGGCGAGGCTCCAAACCCTATCCTCGTGGCCTTCAAGTGTCTGGACTTCTCTCAGCTCAAAATTATCATCCGCGAAATTCATCGTCCTAGGCTGTTTTCCTTGGAGATTTCAGATCGGGTTTTCACTTTTCGCTTACTGTAGAGAAGAAATATTGAGCGGAGCGGGAACCAACCTCTACGGATCGAGTCAAGGCGTGTATCAGAGCAGCCTGGAAAAGAGCGTTGGCTCGTGTTGGCCAGATGAAGACGACGACGAGAAAGAGGGTGCAGACGGGTCAGAGAAGAAAGAAGAATACGATTGTAATACAAATAGGGCGGTGAGAGGTAGACGACGGACGGTGAAGGCGGAGACGGCGCAGAGCGAATTAGATTAGGGGTTTTCTTTTATTTTCTATTCCTAGAGTATGTTTGTTGTTGTATAAATTATTTAAAATTGAGTATTAAATTATATACTAATATTCAAAAGGTTGTCTATACTTGTAAAATTTTATCATAATTTTTACTATTTTAATTTTTTTTTCATAAATATTAAATAAAACATTCAATTTTTATTTATTTTATTAAATTAAAATTTAATTTTACATTTAAAATATCACTATCACTTTCAAAAAATTAACCACTGTTTCAATTCAAAATTTTATTATTAAAATCAAAACCGTACAAGTAAATACAATATTTGTTGGTGAATTTTAGTTTTTGAGTTTGAATTTTGAACAGTAAAAATTTAAATTTGAATAAATATTTGATATGATATAAATAGAGATTGATAAGATATTTTGAATATAAAATAAATTTATAATATAATATTAAATAATAATAATAATAATAATGATAATAATGGTTTAATATTATATTTTTACAAAACAAAATTTGAATAAATATACGGTAAAAGTCACAAAACAACACAATTATGATTTTTTTTTATGTTCTCAAATTTTGCATTAATTAAAATTTGCATAAAATATTTATTTTCGTTCAAAGTTGATGTATGAGTGTAACATGAGTTAAATTATATAAATTTTATATAAATAAAAGTAATAAATACACTAAATAATTTATCAATATGTTATTTTATAATTTTATGGAGTTAATATTATTTAATCTTTATAAAAATAAAAAATTGGTCAATTATTTATTTAATTATTTATTAAAAAAAGATTTTTTTTTTTATTTATACCCAAAAATCAAGTTTTGATTGCGAAATTTAATTTATCACAAAAGGTTCCACAATAAATAAAATATAAATTGTTTATGCAATTTTAGATAAACAATATTATACCTTAAATAATATTTTAATTTTATATTTTACAAAATAATAATAATAATACATATTTTTTCTTTGTTTTTTCTTTTAATTCATTTAAATATGTTTTTATTTTTAATAAATTTATCAATTATATATATAACAATTATAAATTAATTAAATCGAATTCACTTAACTATTCAAAACTTATTTTATTTATATTTAAAATTCTTTATTTTATTCATAAAATTATGTTATATTAATTATAAATAAATAAATACTATATTTTTTATTTATTTATGTTATATAAAATTTTATTCTCTACAAAATAATATTTATATTATATATTTGTTATTAAAATATAACGTTAAAAATATTTAAGAGTAAAAATCATTATTAGTCTCATTCAAATCCAATTTTTTTCATTCTTGGTCATATAAAAAAATAATTACCAAAACTAGTTCCACCCAAAAAATTACTTATCATTTCTAGTTCCACCGTCCAAATTTGACGGTTTCGGCTGACGTGGCTGTTACGGATGCTGACTTGGAATCTGACTCGGACACAACACGTCCGTGTTGCACAAAACACGCCCATGTTTATAATACACCTCAGCGGACCAATTTGAGACTTCAACACGGGCGTGTTATATGGAACACGGCCGTGTTTCTACATGATACACGGGTGTGTTCATTAAAACACAGCCGTGTTATACCATTCAAAGTATTGGCGACTAGAATTAGCCGTACACGACCGTGTTTGTAAGTAAGCACGGCCGTGTTCGATCTCGTTGTTGACAAAAATCCTAGCCCCACATGTTTCTCATTTCAAATCTACTTCACTCAAATTTTCTCTCATTTTTTCCTCATTCCAGCCTCACTTCTCCAATCTATTAACCTCACTTTCCATATATTATATTTTATCTCTTTGAAGTGAAGAATATTCTCGTGCATTCTATTGTGAGGTAATTTTTAATTTGTTTTTTTCGTATCTTTATTGTCTTTTATGGTATAAAAAATAATAATATGTATAAGTTGTATATTCTAGTGATTAATGGATTATAGTGTATGAAAAGTTGAATATTATATAAATAAGTTTTATATAATGTATTGTTTTATAATTTATGCATAATTTTTTGTATTTTATAATTAGTGTATTCAATATGTGTTATATCCTCACTTGTATTGTAGGAGAAAATTATTTATCATAAAAATGAATTATGATAAAGGAAAATGTGTCGAAGAAATATACGATGAAGATGTAAATTTGGATTGCAATGAAATTCGAGAAGAAGATGAGTGGAATGAAATGCTTAATAAATCGGATTTTGAGGATTTCGATTATATGATGGAAGAACAAGATTCAGATGATGATATGATTGATTGGTCATTGTTCGAGACTAATGTTGATATAAATGAGTTTAATGAAAATCAAAGTGTCGTGGTGCACCAAAATTCCGAAGATGACATGTCATTTGGTGATTCTCAAGAAAAAGATTTAACCATGTTTGTTGAATCCGATGTTGATGAAATGGAATCGTATGCCATTTATGATCCAGCGTCAAAGTATGATCCCACTTTTAGTCTTGGAATGATTTTTAGCTCTAAAAAAGAATTTAAGGAGGCGGTCCAGAATCATGCTACCAAGACAATGAGAAGTTTGAAATTTGTCAAGAATGATAAAAGAAAAGTTTATGTCTGATGTGCTGTTGAGAACTCCAATTGGAAAATGAATGTGTTAAAGGTGAATGATCAAGCATCTTTAAAACTAAAGATATATAATTGCAATCATGATTGTATGTGCGACTTGAATATGAAGAATGTGAAGTCGACATGGCTTGCAAGGAAGTATGAGTCGTTGTTTCGATCAGATCCTAAACGACGTATAAAAGGGTTTATGATAGACATCACAGAAGACATTAGATGCAATATATCCTAACAGCAAGCATACAAAGCACGAAAATAGGCACTTAAGGCAATTGAAGGTGATGCTAAAGAGTAATATGGAAAGTTGTGGGACTATGCTGAAGCTTTACGACAATCTAATCCTGGGTCAACTGTTTTGATGCAATTGGAAGGCGAATTTTTGAATGGACGACGCAGATTTAGCAAGTATTACATATGTTTGAAATTGTTTGTACGTGGGTTTCAGTCTGGATGTCGATCTATCATTGGGGTGGATGGTTGTCACCTAAAAATTCCTTGCCAAGGCATTCCTTTGACTGCTATTGGAATTGATCCCAACAATGAGTTGTTTCCTTTGGCATATGTTGTTGTCGGGAGTGAGACGCGCAAAGCGTGAGAATGGTTTTTCACTCTTCTAAGGGAGGATTTGAACATAGAGCACGAGGGTTATACATTTATATCTGACAAACAAAAAGGTCTTGTTCCGGCCATGGAAAAGATTTTCCCTCTATTACGTATGAAATTTATAATTAGGTTAAAAAGCCCAAGTTGGAAGAAGATGTGGGCTTGTAATCGGGTGTTTTAGACTCTTTAAGGGGGTATTTCAAGATAATCGGGTAAACTGAACGTTTTTTAGGAGAGTCCGCAGGTCGGGAAATCTGCAGGTCGGATGGTTCGCAGGTCGAAAAGTCCGCAGGTCGGGAAGTCCTCAAGTCGGAAGGTCCGTAGGTCGGAAAGTCCGCAGGTCGGAAAATCTGCAAGTCGGATGGTCCGCAGGTCGGAAAGTCCGCAGGTTGGGAAGTCCGCAGGTCGGAAGGTCCGTAGGTCGGAAAGTCCGCAGGTCGGGAAGTCCGCAGGTCGGAAAGTCCGTAGGTCGGACGGTCCGCAGGTCGGAAGGTCCACAGGTCGGATGGTCCGCAGGCCGGAAGGTCCACGAGTCGGACAGTCTACGAGTCGGATAGTCTACAAGTCGGACGGTCTGCAGGTTGGTTGGTCTGTAAGTCGGGAGGTTTGCGGCTGGACCAACAAGTCGGGAGGTTTGCGGTCGGACTAACAAGTCGGTTGGTTGGTCGTCAGATAGGCAAGTCGGTTGATCCACAGTTGGATGAGTGAATTGTGGGTTGTTGTGGAGGTCGGATGCTGCGGAGAGCAAGTGAGAATAATAGCTTGGTCGGCTGAAAACACGTGTCAGCAGAAGAGGAGGTAGCGAACGGTTGAGAGAATTGTTGTAACCGTTCGAGCGACGGTTCCAAGTGACGTTTCTGAAGAATATTTAAGGATTGGGATATGCAACTGACAGGGAATCTTCAATCATCTTCAAACGACAGCAAAGTCAATGATTCGGGGATCATCATTTAAATTTTCAGTCTTTTATTTTCCAATTTATTTTCTGTATCGTATAGTGTTTAGAGATTCCTAATTCAGGCACTAATTAATCAAGTTCAAAGATAATCTCCTATTTTCGGATTTTACTTTTTATCTGTTTAAAAAATACATCAACACCCTCAATGCGAAAAAAGATTTTGTGTTCGACATTTGTATGAAAATATGAAAACAGTTGGATTTAAGGGTCTTGCATATAAAAGATTGATTTGGATGGCCGCCGACGCAAGTACTGTCCCCGACTTTGAGGAGGTGATGAAGGAGATTCAAGAGTTGGATCCGAAATGCATTGATTGACTTGCCGACAAGCCACCGTGTCAGTGGTCAAGATCACATTTTGCTACATTTTCGAAATGTGATATGATCTTGAACAATTTATGTGAATCATTCAATAGTATAATATTATATGCAAGAGAAATGTCGATACTGCCGATGTTAGAGTGGATTAGAAGATATTTATTAACACGTCTTCAGAAACGAAGAGAGATGACGCATAGAAAATGGGGGGATATGCATTTTTGCCCTAAGATAGTAAAAATTATGGAAAAAAACATTCAATCGGCTTCTTCTTGTGCACCCGTTAAAGTCAATGATTGGTGTTACGAGATTTATTGTTCGGATGAGAATCGATTTGTTGTTTACATTTTTAAAAAATCCTGTAGTTGTAGAAAATGGGAGTTATGTGGTATCCCATGTCACCATGCGATGAGTGCTATATGTAGACAACAGTTAAATCCAGAGGATTTTGTTGATGAAATATATAGTGTTGAGACATTCAATAAAGTGTATTCGTATTCTATTGGCGCAATGGATGGTAAAAAAATGTGGCAAAAACCTGAATTGCCTCCACCACTTCCCCCAAATGTTAAAC